AACATTCATCTGTTTGCATCTTGCTAATTATTTATCGAATATATCATATTCCATGTACGTGTAGACTCTTCTTGCACTATTTCTATTTGATCTGTTGTACTTGTTTTATGTCCTATATAGAGAGGCGGAGTCCCTCCCTTTCCGGTGGACCTCCATGGGACCTTATTTCGGAAAAATTGTGTATTGAAGTCAATGGAGAGAGAAAGATTATCTTTCGATCCCGTTTGAATTGTGCCACGAATTACACATATGATGTTTGTCAATTTAAAAGATAATTTTGCAAGTCAAAAAAATTAAAATGTGTTGTAAAACTTTGAAGTAACAAATTTCTTTGGCACATTTCACTTCTTTCTTTCAGAATGAGGCGAAAAGTATTAAAAGAGGTGAAAATCACTCCAAGTCTGGGCGTGTTGAGAGCTGTACACACACACAAGGGGAGTTAGTTGGTTCCGTGAGAGCCAGCATGCGGGACCGGCTTTCCAAGGTTTCGGTGAGTAACACGAGTGCAATGTGTAACGTTATTATATTTGATTATAATGTTATGTCTGCTGTGAAGCACTTCGGTAAAACCGTCTGTTTGAATATGTGCCATATAAATAAAGTGGATTGGATTGAACGTTAATGACATCACTTACTCTGGGATTTGTAGTCTTTCTAGTTGTGTATTTTTCACAAACTGTGAGTTTTTTTACATGGAAATAATTTTGTAAGATTGACAAACATCAGATGTGTAATCCATGGAACAATTCAAACGGGATCGAAAGATAATCTTTCTCTCTCCATTGACTCCAATACATACTTTTTCCAAAATAAGGTCGCATGGGGCGGAAGTAGAAGGGCGGGACTTCGCCTGTCTATGTGTTCATGTTGCTCTGTTGTTGATCATTGAAATATCTACACTGTAGCTGCCGTGCACATGATGGTAAAGCCTTGAATTGAATTGAATAAAGCTAAGAGGCTGCAAACAATAAATAGTCGAGTCATTACGCACCATCCCCCCCCCCTTTTTATGTTTTTGTTTGTCTCTTTATGTATTTTCTTCGTTGTTGTGTAATGCTCTGTCAA